TAGAATGTTGTGATGATGTACGTGAATTAAAATAGAATTTTAAGATTATTTATTCGAGCATCTCTTCGACCACAGAGAAATCCGGTTGAAATAGAAAAACTTGAAAAATCATCAGCCAGCCATAGCTCATCTAGACGCTATAGAATCAGGCTACAAAAATGATTTCGACAATGTTGAAACAATCATCCAGAAAAAGCATTTCAGAAATCACAAATCTCATATCATCAGAAGCACATCATATCAAGTGGAATTCAAATTGTCTGAACTGAATAGGAATGATGGGCTAAAACAGAATCTGACCTGGTTACAACACCCGCGTCCTCCATGAAATGACAAAATCAACACGAATGTGATATGCAAGTTCACTATGTAAACACACACCACTTTAATAATTTTACACACTGCTCAAATCCAACAATCTACACTTGGTTTTGTTTTCTTTACCAATTGACCAACTTGACAACGAAAAATGAACCCAGACTGACGGACGATGATCAAGTTAGTAAACTTTGTTTTGATACCAACCAGGGCAGATGGACTATAACCTCTGTTATTTGGTTTAGTCATTCATCTTCATTGTTATTTTCACTTTCAATATGTCCTCCTTTTAACTTGACCTAAGTCAAGTCAAGTCTATTTTCTCACCCACCTCTTAACTCTTTGTTGTGTATATGTATGCTGAGTGGATTTTGTAAATTCTTCTGGTTTAATAATACTGCTTTGATAAAGCTATTAGCAGCAGCAGCATTGAATAGCGAAACGTCAGTAAGAGCAACGATAATATCGTTTTGTTTTTCATTCATTGAGAAATACAAAAACCTTTATGATAATGAATATCATATACCACCCAATGCCCAAATTTTTTCACACTGTTAAAAGTGAACTTGGTTTGGACATATATATATATATATATATATATATATATATATGCAATATATATTTGCATGCATAAAAAGTTTACAAAGTGTAATGTTGTAATGCTCGGCTTATTGTTAATACATTCCTTTTTTTGCTGTTGTTGTTTTGTGTTCCTAATTCGTTGTATTCCCATCATTTGTTCCAGTTGCTGGAGTCAGCTGTTGTTGATGATGATGATTTAAGCTTCGTTTCAGCTCGGCATTTTCAGTTTCCAGCAATTCAAGTTTTTGTTTCAATTCTGCAATCTCTAGTTTCATTGCTTCAACATCCGAAGGATCTGGACCTTCAGCTTGTAAATGTTTCTTCATAAATCTAGACAATAAACAATAATAATAATTAAAAAAATAATAATAACAAATCTTCTTTAAAAAAATCCAACCAGACACACAGAGCATATTCAGCTCAAATAAAAAGAAAAGAAACACAAAGATAATCCCTTTATGATAAATTTGAACAGTATTCTTTAGGAGATGGAGATTATTTGGAAAAGAGCGTACGTGTATTTTCGCAATATTGATATAAGCATAAAACGTGGGCACTGTGGTAGAGTATAACTCCATTATGGATAAGATAAAAAAACTAACCGCAGATCCTGAACTCACTCACTCACTCACTCATAGGACGAAGCTACCCATTGAAGAAATTATTTTAGGAATTTAGTTATGCCTCACTCATATCTATTATCTTTAAATTCCAAAGCACAAAATATATAGACAAACAGAAGGTGTAGCAATGGGATGATGGATCACCAATATCGCCTAGTGTAGCAGATATATTCATGGATAGTTGGAAAAATATTGCTCCTAATACATTCACCTAATCCTACTCCAAAAAGAGATGGTGGATATATGTGGAGGACACTTTCACATACAGTGTTGAAAACAGAACATATACCTCTCTAGCATCTTCACGCATAAAACTCACTAGTAGAGGGAATAAAATTCACATTTGAATCGGAAAATGAACAAAGAGAACTTAGCTGTGATGTTGGATTGTAAAATGAAACGAATAGAAGAAGGTAAACTACACACTAGCGTTTGTAAAAAACCAACGCATTCTGCTAATAGATATTTAGACCTCTTTAATTCATCACCTCATCCGTCCGTTATCTGTCTGTGAAGGCAGGCTTAGTTAAGTTAAGTCTCTAACAAACCGAGCAGTAGCACTAAGCAGTACAAAAATAGGCCTAAATGATGAAATAAAACAGACAGAAGAAGAAGCCTTGGTGTCAAATAACTATCCTATAAAATTCATTAGGAAGATCAGAAAAGGCCAAAAGCAAAATCGACAAATAATTGTAAAACTAGTAATGATAACATAAATAAGAGATAATATAAGGCATCTACAGCAGTTATACCATATAAGGGGGGACATCTGAGATACTCCCTACGTAGGATTCTTAATAAATCAGGAGTCAGGCTGGCGGTGGCATTTAAACACACAAACTCACTCAGGTAGGACAAGCTCTGTAGGCTAGAAGACCCGGTGGACGCAATTCAACAAATTAATATAATTTACAAGATACCTTGCAATGACTGTGAGTTCGGTCATTTACATCGGTCAGTCAAACTAGTAGATCTGATTGTCGGAACATAAGAATTTAGCTAAGGTAAGAATGGTTGACCCCACTCGAGAAGATGAGTAATTTAGAAAAAATGGTCAGTACTACAAAATGGAATTCTCAGCTTTTGTCTCAATATTGCATCTGATTTACTCAAACTATAAATAAAATTAAAAATTGAAACAAAATTAACCAGAGGAATTTGTTCACGTTTACGATATGAAGTCAAAATTATTCGAAGTACGAATTGAGATTATTAAATATAATAATATTAATAACAGTGAGTTTGTTTCAAACAGTATTGTCGATTCAGTTTGGGGATTTTAGCATGTTATAGATCATTGAATCTAATGTTCTGTTGATATAGAAGCATGGTGAGGGGAAATACAAAATTAACAGTTATAACAGCTTAAATGATGTTCACACTTATGAGAAAATAAATAAATAAAAATAAAAACAAAAAATTGAGAGGATTATAAATTTGAGAAGTACAATAACAATAACAAGGTTGATGTTGTAAGGATGGAGGAAAATGGTTTATTTAGTAGTGCAAAGAAGGTTAGCTAGTTAGTTAGTTAGTTCATGTCTAACACTATTTTCATCACATAAAGTACGTGCAGCCAAATATGGTATAGTGGAATTTTTATACTTAGACGTACATGCATAAAGTCTTCTGAAAAGACTTCTTGTTTTTCCTGAGGAGGAGACACAAGGTTGGAGCTGTGGGTGCTGCGGCGGATGCTCGCAGTCTGACAAAATTCCTTTATCAAATTTGTTGCGTGACATCAAGTGCCTATCAGTGACAACGTCAGCGATGTGGCCTAATGGGATACCACTCACCCTACTGACTGACTGACAGTCTTCAGAGTTCTACGAAGTATGACATAGTCTGTTTTAAGCAATCGAGGAGAGAATAAGCAGGAATGAACAGTAAAGAAGAATAGGTAAGGTGCACGAGTTGACAAACTGTAAGAGGAGGAGGAGGGGTTGAGTTTTGCCTGAGTGCTTTAACTTCTTAATGTAAAAAGTCAGACGAAATATTCTTTTAGAAATTACTAAGACATGAGAAGACCACGATAGGTAGGTCAGTAGAAAGAATTAATCCAAGATACTTAACTTCACACTTGGTTTCTATATCCTCACTATCATCAATTCTGCAAGCGTCATAGGAACCAACAGCTTCATCGCTTAACTTTCTTTTACTCACATCGGAAACTGAAATTAACAGTCTGACATTTGGAAGGATTTTGTTTAACATCGACCATTAGACGAAGACCATTTGCTAATTCCTGATAGAATGCTGTTGATCTTAGTACAGTCTAGCTGGTCGGGAGTTAACAGACATTGAAACAGTTAGATCATCGGCATAATTAACAAAGTTCATTTCATTATCAGGCAAGGATTGCCAAAGTAGAGTAAGAATTGTTTTTCGTAGACACAGAGAGGGAGTCGTCGGCAGCACCAGGGCTTAAGTTTACGATTCGCTCTATAGCCCAATGCGTATTTCAGTAAGCACCCCTGGCTGTTTCGATAGACAATCTTGGAGGTTGTTTTCATATTACTCTTGCGATTCATATCAATTAAGTGTTTATAGTCATAGGCAAAGTTGATAATCTACTATATCTGTGTTTATCGAGATTCGACATTTCTTTCCATTTGGGTCACGATCACAGGCAAAGAGGAGCGATGACTCCTCCCTATATGTATATGTAGGACCTCACTCATCTATATGGTATGCGACATAGTTACTTGTGCTGTTGTGAGGCATGTAATAGTGTAAAAACAGAAGACAAGGACAAGTCAACAGATCCTTTATTTACGAAATCAACAGGTATTTATAGATTTTCATGTACATTATTATAGATTATTGTTAACAGACAAACACAGTCTTCTCATTGGTGGTTGTTTCTCACTCAACGTTAGTTAATCTTGTAGTGACCCGTTTTATTACTCATCATCGCAGTATACTTTCACTATGTAATTGTACTTTGATTTGTTTATTACTCTAAATCTTGCATGTTAACAATTGATACTTTTTGTACTCGCTCGATTTTTGAATTGTTGATTGCTGCAATAATACACTGTCGTATTCCTTCGCAAGTGCCTTTTGAATTACGTTGTGGATGTCGAGTAATCACAACGTTAGGACACAAATATAAACGCGAAGAAATACTAGAAGATACGTGTACTATAGTTCAGTCAAAATATAGCAGCAACAATCTTTCATCTCTTTGTGACTGTTTCTTCAAGGTCAGATCATTTATCTATCTGCTAATTGTATCCGCCTACGCAAACAAAGTGTGCTGTGATTGGTTGTTGAGTCACTCTTTGCTCTTGTTTTTCTCATGACCAATAATATTTGGGACATAAACATTGACGTAAATTACTGTGTACCAATTCTGGCTAACGTTAGTCGGTGGCACAGCGGTTAGGACGTTCGCCTACCATGCACGTGGTCCGGGGTTCGATCCCCGACCGACGCACTCCTTTACCTCGCTAAGCTAGTAATAGAACTGGCAAAGAGGTAAGGTTGGGCATGAGGCTAGCAACCTCTAGCCTTTAGCTTGAAGCCCTATGTTCCACTGGGAATGTAAAGAAATAAAAAAACACTTTGGCTTGCAGCCAGCCCTCACCACAATAGGGCATGTTTCTGGCTATTTCAGTAATTATGTGGACTGCAGAGTGTGCTTTACGAATGAACGAGTTTAGTCTTTATCTTAAAATTCTACTACTCTTATTTCCCCATAAAACATCATCATAGGCAGTAGGTGTTCACTCAATCATCAAATGACGTTTACTGGGCTTCAGAAGTATAATTTCATCCGGAAAAGTGAGAAAAATGGATTAGTTAGTTGATTTGTCTTTGTTAGTTACGGAAAGATGATGACTGACTGATTGACTGACTAACTACTTCATCACTTCAGGTACTCATTTACTTTACTTACAATAAGTCGAATGTACCAGATTTCGTCAAGAACAAACAAACAAACAAAGAAAACTATCAGACTCCTCAAGTTTCGAAGTCGTGTGATTATAATTGGTGATGTGTATGATTATGAACAGCAATAATGATGAATTGTGTTCGAAACAACTTTGTCACATCCAGTAAATACTCTAATACTGTTTCACTCACTGACTGACTGTGTGTGATACATCCATCTAATAAAGAAACTAATATGCAATTACTTACTACCACCACAGTTGTTGTTACTAACATCATTACTGTCTTCTAAATAACAGTGAATTAGTAATATCGACAGATCACAGTTCGAAAGCATCAGTGAGTGACAGTCAGGGTAGCAATATTACCTTGATCTGTCCAATTGACGGGAAAATCTAAAATTCAATTAAATAATTAACATGACCCGTTACAGAAGAGGTGGCTAGCTCTCGTCGCCCAAGTGGTTCAGTAGATAACGCTTTGGCTACTGGTGTTTGAAACTATGGCCACTGGGTTTGAGCCTACGTGGTGGGAACATCATCACTGAGTCACCGGGCCTGAATACAGGCACATCCTGATGACAAGTCCCAGATAGGACCGGTGAAATGCACGTTATCCTGGACTGGATTCCCCTGCTGCTAGTCACCATCTACCAATTAAATTTTACCTTGATCTGTTTGTTTATTTTGCACTCACATCTCCGGCTGATTTCAGCGAATCGCATAAATGTCTCTACTGTTTTCAATATATCTGGAGGCATCTGGTAATTTATTTCGGTAATCGATAAAGTACGATAGGAAGAGAGACTAC